GTGATTCAGCCTTCAACATTGTTTTGCCAAGATGGCTTGATTTAGTAGCTTGAAATTCTTGAAACCCATCCCTTCCACAACCTTAACCTCTGTCATTTTATCCCACTTCCTCCAAGAGATTCCCCTCCTGTCCTCACTCCCTTTCCACCAAAAGTTCCTTGCATAGCAATTCAATTTATCACAAAAGTTTTTTGAGAATTCCACCACTTACATGGCATAGTTTGGGATAGCCTGAATCACTGCCTTAATCAACACCACTTTATCTATCTGTAAGAGACAACAACATTTCCATCCCTAAAGTTTTTTTGTTATTCTTTCCAGTAAATAACCAAAGACCTCCTTCTTGGACCTTCCCCAAACAGTANCTTTACCTGCTTGTAAGAGACAACAACATTTCCATCCCTAAAGTTTTTTTGCTATTCTTTCCAGTAAATAACCAAAGACCTCCTTCTTGGACCTTCCCCAAACAGTAGGAATTCCCAAATACTTCGCACAGTGGGAGAAAGTCTGCATCCCCATAAGATGGCAATAGAAGTTCTTTTGTTCCTCAGTAGTATTGCTAGAGAAGATAATCCCAGATTTCTGATAGTTAGCTCATTGCCAGACGCCTTACAATAACTTTGAAGAATCCTCAAGAGCTCCATAACTCCCCCCCTTGCTTTGATAAAAAACAAGGAGTCATTAATGAAAAAGAGATGTGAAATGACAGGGCTTCTTCTCTTAATTTTGATCCCCATCAGTGCCCCTCTTCAACTCCTTTTTGTAGCATTGCCGAAAAAACATCTACAATCAGTATAAACAGATACAGAGAAAGTGGATTTCCGTGCTTGATTCCCCTCTGAGGCTTAAATTCCCCATGCAAAGCAAATTGAAAAGATACAGTACTAACACACTGTATAATGAGGTGAACTCAGCGACTATCAAGTCCCAATTTGATCATTGTTGCTTCCAAAATGTCTCACTCAACTCTATCATAGGCCTTGTTAATGTCTATTTTAATTGTTATTTCTGAAATTTTGTCTCTCTTCTTTCTTGTANTTGAAAAGATACAGTACTAACACACTGTATAATGAGGTGAACTCAGCGACTATCAAGTCCCAATTTGATCATTGTTGCTTCCAAAATGTCTCACTCAACTCTATCATAGGCCTTGTTAATATCCATTTTAATTGTTATTTCTGAAATTTTGTCTCTCTTCTTTCCTGTTAGATGACGAAAGACTTCATTCGCAATAGCTATGCAATCCTGAATCTGTCTATTATGAACAAAGGCAGTCTGATTGGGGAGACTATAGAGTCTATCATTCCTTTCATTCTGTTTACCATGACCTTTGATATCACCTTGTACAAAAAGTTACACAAAGCAATCGAATAGACAGACGTAGCTTCTTTAGGGATAAGGACAACATTAGTGTAGTTCAACATTAGTCTAGATGCAATTTATTAACGGATATACTAACTGACATTAACGACAAAGTGTTACAAACGTAAAATTTTTAAAATATTTGTATATAATATTTTAAATATTACAGAGTCTAAGCGAATAAAAGACAAAACTCAAAAAATTTAAGNATAGACAGACGTAGCTTCTTTAGGGATAAGGACAACATTAGTGTAGTTCAACATTAGTCTAGATGCAATTTATTAACGGATATACTAACTGACATTAACGACAAAGTGTTACAAACGTAAAACTTTTAAAATATTTTTATATAATATTTTAAATATTACAGAGTCTAAGCGAATAAAAGACAAAACTCAAAAAATTTAAGTATGATTTTTCAAAAATTTAAACTACCACCCAAAGTCAAAAGTCTAAACACGTAACCGTTGGCCTGCCCAACTCAGGAGTGATCACGTGCACATGTTGGCCAATAGAGCATTCACACTATTTATAGTTAAGCGTTGCTGATAAGTTGTCATGCCAACCCATGTGGAATCAGTTCTTACGCATAAAAATGTCTTTCAAAGCTTTTTGACTCTTTTTTTTTTTTTTCTTTTAACAAGAAATGTTTGTTGTTTTAAATAAATTTAACTAATTTATATACATTTGTGTATAATATTTAGTTTGTGAATTATATTTTTTATTAATTTTTATAAACACAAATATATATATATATATATATATACATATTCTCAAGACAATCACGCTGTTGAATGTTTTTAAAATTGTGTGTTATCTCTCTTACCNTATATATATATATATATATATATATATATACATAATATGATATTCTCAAGACAATCACGCTGTTGAATGTTTTTAAAATTGTGTGCCTCTCCTCCAGTTCCGTGTGACCAAAGGTGCAACCCTTTGGAATAAAATATGAAGTACAAAAACAAAGAAACTTTGAATGATTACAAAATGTCTATGGATATTGCAGATGAATAAGATTGCTGGGTGTTGAAAATCATTGAAAAAAGGGAGCTTTATGGCTGAGAACACCAAGGTATCTTATTTATGTTAGCAAGGGGCCTATGTAGTATTAATAATGGCAGTTGCTTTCTCTCACTTAGAATGGTCCCACTAAATGGAGGAGCTTGCTGCATCTCTCTTTACTCTACTCCCAATGCTGCAGAGGACGGAGGAGGGGTCCCTAGTTATAGTATAGAATGGCTATTACTTTACAGAGGAGACACATTTCAAATTTATGTAATCACATGATAATCATGTGCAATTGGTTAACCCGAGATTTATGCGTAAAATAAAAAAAAAAAAAAAAAAAAACTCAAACTTATAAGGTGAGGGTTTAAACTTGGTTTCTTGTTCGATAATTGAAACAAACCCATAAAAGTTTCTTTTGCCATTTTATTTTAGATAAAAAAAAAAGGGAGCCCACTTAGTGTTTAGCTTTCAGAAGATATTTTAGGCCAACTTTGAGCAATGGCCATTCACGTGTACCATTAATATATTACTACTGCAACTAATGCTGATAAAGAAAAATATGTGTTGCTGCTATAATTAGATAAATAATAATATTTTTTTGTACTTAATTTAATGATTTAATTGAAAATATAATGTATTGTAATTATTAGATTGATAGTATACCTTATTTAGCACTGTGATCCACTGTTAATAGATCAAAACTCTCACATTCAACCTTATTCTATATTTGGTTGTCAAATATACTTTGTACTATAAATAAGTTTATTTCAAATTACGTATCCGATTGAAGTATATTAAGTTTTAAAATTTGGAATTTTGCCCACAAAATATACAAAAATATAGATTAGATTGATAGTTTTTTAGTCAATATAAAATTATTACTCTATTATCTCACTCTTAATCTAATAGATTAGTATTTTTATCCTATATTTAATCTTTTATTTTATCCATTTATATGAGATTAATCTGTATTAATAACTAATACAATTCATTCTTTTACAATACGCCCATAGCTAAATTGTGAGGTTCATACATGGAGAACTAGCCCACCGAAAGATGGAGTACAAAAACCATGAAGTTTGCAAATCGCCCCCTCAAAATTGGAAAAATCTCACAATTTCTTTTAATTTCATAAATTTCTTATATTGTGCCACAATTGATAGACAAGCCTTTTGTTTTTTTTTTTTTTTTTTT